ATAGTATTTTGAGAGAATTATGTGCAGTATACAAGTATTCTATATAAAACAAATAATTTCTTTTCGTTTAAATCTAAGAATAAAATGTCATCATTAAGAATAGTCATGTGGCTTCTTTTGATTTCAAATCGTTCCTCGACAAGAAGCTGTATCGATAATCTATAGTTAGTCATATAAAATGCAAATAGTAGATGAAAGAAAGATTGGTAAAAAAAAGTACATTGACAATGAAACAAACAAACGTTAATGCAGTTTTATTATTTTTGCCATTCTATTTTCATCTTTGTATGTATAGTTACTTATCAGAGTGAAGAGAGAGGGTGTGTAAAGAAACAAATTTGAAAAGAAAAGCGAAACTGCATATTATTTATTCTTTCTTACCGTCTATCACTATAGTTTCATTGAATAGACAATTTAAATGTAAGAAAAGCACGGTGAAGAATAGTTTGATGGTCTAAAAAGATTATATTACGAATAATTTTCATTCTCTGAAAACTTCTGCTCGTGTAAATCATTCATTCTAATAAAAACTATTGTTTCATATATTTAATAAAAAGATGTGTTTTTTTGTTCAATGTATTTGAAACAAATCTAATTAACAATACATTGTACTACTAAATTGAAACTTATTGCTTGAATATGAATACATCAAATATTTTAACCACTGTAACAACTCATCATTACGTATGACAGACATTTGTAAGTTCTTACAAATATCTTCGGATTCGAAGAAAAATCAGTTTGATTATTAGTGTTCTTAGTATTTGAATTATCGATAAATATTTATTTCTGAACATAATCGTTTTTTATTATCGAATAACTAATATAATATAATATTATTCCGGAATGTTATCTATTTCTGTAGTCTCTATTACATTAGATTGTATACAAAATCAGATTCTTAGTCTTTTATTGTTATTACTGGATTATCATAAGCACCATCGACTGTTCTCATTATTACAACATCCGACGAATCCAGAGGTATTGCATTTGTAGCAAGAGTTTGTGCACTTGCAGTAGTATGAAGTGTACCATAACCTTCTGGTGCTACTAATTCAATCTCATTATCAACCTTTAATAAATAAAACATAATAATAATAATTTAATTTCTATTAACAAACTTTTTTATCTGAATCAACAACTTTGTCTACACCACATCGAAGCCAATCACGTATACGTTTAGGTAAACAACAGCAAAATACATCACTAATAGGTATTAATAATTTCGGATCGACTTCATTTGGTTTAAGTGGATGAGTTAAATAAGATACAATAATTCCAACAACTAAAACAGTACCTACAGCTATTGGTGTATACCACATATAACTAACTGAATAAAAATCAATCAATGGGTTACGCCTAGAAGAAAATGAAAACTTTCAATTTAATATTTTTTTTGTTTTTTTCAAACTAACTTTATTGGAGTTGTTATTATATTTGTAATATTTATTGGAATAGGACAATTAGCAACTGATAATGGTAAACGTTCACTTTTCATTTGTTTTTTTGTTATTTGTGCACCCAAAAACAGCCAAATTTGTAGAAAAAGACTTGCTAAAAATCCATAAAAACCACCATGTTTATTTGCTTGAGGAACAAAAAAACCAAGAAAAAAAGCACCCATTATTAGACCTGATAAAACTCCAAATAATGATAATGCAGCATTCAATATTGATCCAAGATAACTAACAAGATATGTTAATAACATAACTACAGTTCCTAATACAATTGAAAAGATTTTCAATGCTAAACCTTTTTTCTAATAAACCTTTATAAACATCTTCAATAACAACAGCTGCAAGACTATTTAATCCAGATGATATTGTGGATAATGAACCAGAAAAAATATAAGCAAGAAATATTTCTGGTAAACCTTTTTTATCACTTAATACATCCATAACATATCTAGCTGTATATGGATCACAATCAGCATAATATGCATAAAGGATAACTCCAATAATGCATGAGAAAACTATAACAATTGCAGCACCAGCTGCACTGATAAACAATGCTTGTTTAGCACCACGCGTTGTACGAATACATGGATCAAAACTTACGCTAAAATAAGAAAATATCAATGTAATTTCAGTTCTTTAACGCTCAGTTACTGTTTCGGGTCATTTGTTTTTTGTAATCTCTCAGCATTAGTAGCTGTACAATATCCTGACAAAAGAACATGAATAGATTTAAGAGAGAAAAAATACGGATATGAGTCCACGCGGACCGTAGGACACTGTTGAAGTTATAAAATGAGGACGGTAACCGAGAGTTAACAAATTAGCACCTGTTTATGGTTATCGTAGTGAAAAAGTTGTTACAATTGAAGAAGCATTAGAATCAATTCAATCTTAGATTGATGAATTACCATATTATATTAAAATATCAAAAAAATAATGTCATTATCCATCAGAACTTGGTTTAATACAGGATGAATCAGCTTCAATCATGCTTTACTCCATGAAATGGGAACCACATCAAAAAAGCTTATATACTGTAGGAACAATATTTGTCTGGTGTGGATTTACTTCATGTACAACATCAGTAGGGGTACTTGAAAATGCATAATGTCAAAGCAAAACCGGTCAAAGGACATTATTTACTATTGAATGTGATAGTGGAAAAGATATTAGTCGTCATTCGTTTTTTCAATCAGAGAAAAAAATTCTTCTTCAATCTGCTCGATAATTTCCCGTTGGATCCGGGTATCGAAGAGTTTACTGACCGGATCCGGATCGAAAGACATGTTATCCACATAGTATTTTTCTGAATTCCTTTAATTTTTTATTCATTTCATTCAAAAGATCTTCAACTTATTTATAAAAATAGTAGAAAGAACAATAACAAAACTTTCTGTTTATATCTGAACCTAATTATCATAATAAATCTATAAATCTAATAGGGTGTGGGTGTGGGTGAGGGTGAGGATGTGAGTGTGTGTGTGTGATATTCATATATTATACCCACACCCACACCCCTTGCTACAAATACAACCTATCAAAATATTCTGCAGCAATGAAATAAATAATAAAGTGTGCTGTTTTAATTTATTTTATTTTCTCGCGTATTTGTTCGAGATAACTTTGAAATATTAGGACATTAGGATGATCGGGTTCAAAAGTTTTACGAGCAATATCAACAGCACTTTGTTCATGTTTTAAAGCTGATCTATAATCTCCTTGATGTACGTATATCGTTGCTATACTAGTATGCGTAACAGCAATATCAGGATGAGAAACTGGAAGACTTTTCTTTTGAATTTCTAATGCTTTTTCAAAATATTCAAGTGCAGTGTCATATTTTTTCATTGACTGATAATTAGCTCCTAGATTAATGTAGAAAACAGCTAAATCAGGATGATGAGATGGAAGAGTTGTCTGTTGAATTTCCACTGTTTTTTGATAATATTCAAGTGCAGTTGAGTAATTGTTTAGTGATTGATAGATAACACCAATGTTATTATATGCGATAGCCAATGTTGGATGATAAGATGGAAGAGAATTCTTTTTAATATCAAGTGATTGTTCATAATATGTAAGTGCTTTAGTAGTATTTCCTAATTGTCTTTCAACATCTCCAAGATTATTATAAGTCGCAGCCAATGATGGATGACCTTCACGAAGAGATTTTTCTTGAATTCCAAGTGCCTTTTGATAATATTCCAATGCAGTTTGATATTTTCCCATTAATTGATATACATGACCGTGATTATTATAACATATTGCAAGTGATGGATGACTACTAGGAAGTGTTTCTTGTTGAATTTCAATTGCTTTTCGATAGTATGAAAGAGCAGTTGAATAATTAGCCAAAGATCGATGAGCCCGACCCATGTTTGTATATGTTACAGCTATTTCAGGATGATTTTCTGAAAATGCGTTTTCCAATATTTCAAGTGCTTTTTGATAATAAGAAAGTGCATCTGTATATTCTCCCATTTTTTGATGAACGTCACCGATATTATTATAAGTACAAGCTAACCATGGATGATTAGATGAATTTGTGTTTAATTTAATATCAAGTGATTTTTGTAAATATGATGTTGCCAGAGCATAATCTCCTAGTTCCCAATAAAGTCGACCCATATTATTATAAACAATAGCTACTGGTCCATCACTAGTAGAATATTTTTTTAAACGAATATTTAATGCTTTTTCAAAATTTTGTAACGCTACAGAAAAATATCCCATTAATCGTTGAAGTTCACCAATATTATTATATGTAGTACCGAACTCTTGATGTTGAGATGGAAGAGTCTTTCTTTTGATTGAAAGTGCTTGTTCATGAAATTTTAATGCATTTGAAAAATCAGCAAGTGATTCACAAGCTAATGCCATATTATTATAAGTAA